TCTCTGCCTCTGTCTCTGTCTCTGCCTCTGTCTCTCTCTCTGCCTCTGCCTCTGTCTCTGGGGTTTCCTGCATGTTCTTAACAATGTTCTGTTCATTCAGGTTGTTGGTGATCCTTCGGTCCATGTGGTGTTTGCTGGTTATCTCCAAGTGTCGGTGCAGCCAATCACATCCTGCGGAGCTCTGCTGTAGTAAAACAGGGGGTGGGGCAGAGAGAGAGAGAGAGAGACAGAGAGAGAGAGAGAGAGAGAGACAGAGAGAGGGAGAGAGGTGGGGATGAGGGACCCGGATGCTGATGCTGCCCGATGAAGAAGAGGAAAGAAAGGGAAACGCTACGGGTCACTTCTGAAACATCACGTCCGAGACATTTGTCCAGATTCTCCTTCTGGATTTTGCGCTGAGCTGCGGCCCGAGGGGGGGATGCACACAGAGGAGGAGAGGAAGAGAGAGGGAGGACAGGGAGGAGGAGAGGAGGAGAGGCGGCTTCTCAGCTGAGGATGCTTGTTGTTTCTAGGATTTAATCACCGGGCCCCGCGCTCATCCTCCTCCGGCACCGAGCGCACCTCTCCCCGCTGCGGCTGCCCCTGCACCTCGCCCTCCCGCAGGCCCCGGGCAGCCTGAGGCTCTTTGCCTCGGTGGTGGTGGTGGTGGTGCTCTTTTTTTTTTTTTCCTCTTCCTCTATTTCCTGATGCAGGGTCTGGGAGGGGGTGAGCCAAAGTGTGCACCGGATATTGGAAAACCCATTCTGCTAGCTGATGCTGTTACGATAATAGATTATTATCTGGACGCGTCTGCACGCAGAGGCACATCCTGACCAAACGAGGCCAGAGCCCGGGGATGAAGTGTGGAGCTGCCTGGGAGGAACATGAAAAGGATTTTTGGACGGTAGCAGCAGCAGGAGGATGAGGAGGGAGGGGGGGTCCCTGATATCGATCAGTCAATGGATTCAATCAGAGCTTTCTGACTCGGGATATTTGAAACTCTGCTCTTACAGAAATCAATTTGTGGCGAATGTAGCCTTCCTGTCCAGGTCTCAGTGAGATCCCTGTTTTTTTTTGTCCAGCTGCACAAAACCAACCAGCTTTAAACTCCTCTGTTCTCCAGCAGGGGTGGATGAGACTATTGTGGACAAACCTCACCTCACCCCTTCTCCTTCTCTTTCTCCGCTCGTCCCTGTGAACGATGCTGCTGCAGTGAGAGACGCGAGCGGATCCCGGGAAATACTTTATTCTAGGCCCGATAATAAAAGAGTGGAGCCTGGGCCGACTCTCGCTCCCAGCACGGACCTGACCGCATGACAAGCAAGTGCATGGGAGTATCCTGCAGGGCCCGGCTCTAGATCACGACCACACCAGTCCTCCGCGCCTCCTCTCCTCTCCTCTCCTCACCGCCGCCTGGCATGTGCGTAACGGCGTTACGCACGGAGCAGGACCGAGCCCTATCTTGATCTGCCTCACATCGGGAGAGAGAATTTCAGGATGAGCAGCAAGGAGCTGACGGTGGGCCTGTCCAGCCAGTATGTGGGGCCCTACCGGCTGGAGAAGACCCTCGGGAAGGGCCAGACAGGTAGGGACCTCCGAGTCCTGCAGCAATGAGGCAGTTGCATCAGCTGATTTCAGGGTGTTTACACCCTAATTCAGAGTCAATTTAAAATCCCCATAATATCCTGATCTCATGGGTTAATCCTCATTGTGTGTCCTCTTATCTTAAGTGGCTTTATTCTTAAAGAGCCTCCTTAAATCCATTAAAGAACATAATCACGTATTTTAATGTGCAGGGAGGGAAAGACATCCCAGCAGGCCTCTGAATAAATATTACAGTATAGCATGAGATTGGTCAATGTTTGTGACAATGTCAGTAAAGCCTCCTGAATTATGCATGGCATCCCCTCCTTCCAGTTTTCACACTGCATGATGATTTCTGATATTCAAACATTTGCTCTCTGTCTCTCTCTCTCTCTCTCTCTCTGCCTCTGCAGGACTGGTGAAGTTGGGCGTCCACTGTATAACAGGACAGAAAGTGGCCATAAAGATTGTGAACAGGGAGAAACTCTCTGAATCTGTTCTCATGAAGGTACAGCACCGATAGAGTCCACCTGTCCCCAGATAGCAACGTGGATGTGGGCCACGTTTGGCAATGATGCAGCACTTCTGGCCTTTTTGTGTAGAGTCCTAAACGTGCTCCAAATATCCCAAAACAAACGGGGGCCGGCGCAGTGATTCTCTGGCTTACCTGTGGCCTAGATCTGGCAAACGGGGGCGGACCAGCGAAGTGCCGTCACACCACGTAGAAGGGCCAGATGCCAGTGTCGCAATGTGGGTCAAATCTGGGCCAAAGCAGTTCTGCTATGTGGGATCTGTCCACGGTCTATGTGCCGTCTCCGTCTGCAGTTATGGTGTCTGCAGAGCTCGGCTACGCTCGCAGCCTCCAACCTACAGAAATGGAGCTGTTATTTTTAGGAAGAAGCTGAAGCTCGGAGCTGCCGAGTGTGTGGGCACTGCCTCTGTGCAGCGAACAATAGAGATGATTTCAGTCTGCTAATTAAGACCTGCGATGAAAGCTTCTGCAGCTGAAACACGCTGGGGGGGGAAAAAATATTTGTTTAAAAAAAATAATCCAAGTTTTGATTATCAGCCGTAATATTTTAACCATCCGAGGTAGACTCACCACGAGCGGTGAGATTGTGAAACAACTCGTGTAGAAGTCACAAGTCTGAACGATGTCACCTGCAATTTAAAGAAAATGGGGTTTAATCGAACACTTCCCACAATCCTCAGGTGTGATGGCGATGTCTCTGGTCGGCGGAGCTCGATGTGACCATGAATCAGATGGTTCAGCGTCACGTCACATGATTTCTCTTTCTAACGTGTCGAGTCCAGGTTTAAACTAAAAGGTTGAACTCAAGATAGAACTCTTTGCGGGGGAACTGACGCGTTGTGATGTTTCTGCGTGTTCGTCTTTAACAGCGTCACATCAACATTCATCGTTTATGCAGCTTCAAGTCGAACTCTGACCTAACTGACTGTGCGACCTGCACTTAACACTTCAGCTCGTTTCCACCTCTGCTGCGTGTTCGTCTTGATGCTTACTCACCGTCTCTACCTCCGCCTAACGTTTCCCTTCCCACCGTCTCTAACCTCCCATTCCCTTCACCTCTCCCTCCCTCCTCTGTGTGTCCAGGTGGAGAGAGAAATAGCTATCCTTAAACTAATAGAGCATCCTCACGTTCTGAAGCTGCACGATGTCTATGAGAATAACAAATACCTGTGAGTATCTCTTTATCTCTCTCTCCTCTCCGCTGACTTGTTCCCTCTCTTCCTCTGGATCTCTGCCAGAGTCAAACAACCTTGAATCTTAAAGACGAATGTGAGATAAAAAAAAAAAAAAAAAAACATCAGAGATATACGAGGCTGTGTGTGTGTGTGAGTGTGTGTGTGTGTGTGAGTGTGTGTGTACAGCAGTGACTTATGAGTGTGAACGTAGAACATTGCTCCTCCTCCTCCTCACCGCTCTGCTCCTCCAGGTACCTGGTGCTGGAACATGTGTCCGGAGGAGAGTTATTCGACTACCTGGTGAAGAAGGGCAGGTTGACGCCCAAGGAGGCCAGAAAGTTCTTCAGACAAATCATCTCCGCCCTCGACTTCTGCCATAACCACTCCATATGGTCCGTAACTGAGCTTCACCCCTTCTGTCTTATTCCGAACTTTAACACGTGCATTTTAATCATCATTCATTTTCTTAACGAGCCATAAGGACAGAATTCTTATATTCTCTATGTTCTGTGTGTATCACATGGACGGGCTCGTTCACATTGAGCGAAGAGTCAATGACAGCAAAGTTTTCAACTCTTTGTTTTAAGTCAAAGTCTGTGAACACGCACAAATAAAGTACATTTCCTGAAACTGTACAATGTGTGTGTGTGTGTGTGTGTGTGTGTGTGTGTGTGTGCGTGCAGCCACAGAGACCTGAAGCCAGAGAATCTTCTCCTGGATGAGAAGAACAACATCAGGATCGCAGACTTCGGCATGGCGTCGCTACAAGTCGGGGACAGTCTGCTGGAAACCAGCTGTGGGTCAGTACGAGGCTCAGTGGGTCCGAACGTGACGAGTAGAGCAGAATATTAGAAACTCTGTGACAGTGTATAATCATTTCCTTCTGTCTTTCCGTAAAGGTCCCCACATTACGCTTGTCCAGAGGTTATAAGGGTAAGTTACGTCCCTCTCAGAGCGTGTGTGTGTGTGTGTGTGTGTGTGTGTGTGTGTGTGTGTGTCTAATGCTACCCTCGCTGTGCGTTCATGTATCAGGGGGAGAAGTACGACGGCCGCAGGGCCGATGTTTGGAGCTGTGGAGTCATCCTCTTCGCTCTTCTTGTGGTAAGAACTTTAGATCGTCTTCTGGCATCTGTTAATTCTGTATTTCACATTTTTTCATCTTTATTTGTGTTTCCCATCATGCACCTCGTGTACAACACTGAACTGTACACATGGTGTGTCTCCTCCCGTCCTTTTCCCAGGGTGCTTTGCCCTTTGACCACGACAACCTGCGGCAGCTTCTAGAGAAGGTGAAGAGCGGAGTGTTCCACATGCCTCATTTCATACCTCCTGACTGCCAAGCTTTGCTCAAGGGAATGATAGAAGTCAACCCGGACAAGAGACTCACGGTGAGAGTTCAGAAACGTCTTAAATAATAGTTAGTAGTGATGCACTTCCTGCCCAGTTGGTTTGATGTGATGGTGTATTTATATATGAGGTATTTTTAACCACAGTGAGGTTTAAATGTCCAAAGGTTCATGATTATCCAGCCAAAGCTTAATAATAATGAAATGAAACAGGAAAGGGACAAATACACGACCGTGGACTGAGGAATGAACAGGAATGAACAGTGAAAATCATTGTTTGAGTTGGGGACATTGTTCCGTCCCGCCAGTGACTGGGAGGGGAGGAAAGGAGGAGTGATGCTTTAAACATGACTCAGCAAGTCAAACAGGAAACTGGAGCCTAAAGGCTGAAGGCAGAGCCACAGCGGAGCAGCCATCTCACCTTGTCTGGTTCAGACCTTCAGACTCTTCAGTGTAGTCAGAGGAGTAGAAATGAGGCAGATGGAAAGAACAGAGCGCACGGATGAGTTCGTGGAGGGGAAATGTTTTTTATCTCTGTCCTCAGAGGGACGTTGGAGGTTTCTGCATGTTTGTGTAATGTGAATGAAGCCGCCGCTGAAAAGAGGAACGCAGGCGCTGATGGTGAAGGAGAGGACGTCTCTTCCTTTTCACCTAAATGTCAACTTTCCACAGTGACACCGAGCCCTAAAAAGAGACCGGCAGTTCATGGAGAGACAGTGTGTGTGTGTGGGGGGGGGGGGG